TGCCCGCGGTTCGATCGTCGTACGCCCCGACACTGCCGTTTAGTCGCACCCTCGCACCCTCCCATCCTTCAGCACCGTTTCATCGTGCCCTCCCGGCCCGCCACTTTCCCGCCCGCTCCGTTTTTCGGTCCCCCCCCCCGTCGCGATGACGGCTATGGTCCGTAGTACCGCCGCGAAACGACGCACAGCGCATTCCCGCTGCACCGCCGCGCCCTTTGGAACCGTCGGCCTCCGGCCGCTCGATCTTGCCACCGTCCGCCGGCGTTTTCGGTGGCCTGCGCACGCTTGCGTCCTCCTGGTCCCGCGCCCCTCCACTACCGCGCGCCCTTTGGAACCCTCCGCCTCTGCACCGGTTTCTGCTGGGCCCGGCGGGGGCGTCACGCTGGGCCCTTTGCTTGCTTTAAGGGTATAGAGATATACATGTATATAGTCAAACAGAGCTGCCCGGTAAACCGTAGGCAGAGAGGGAGAAGAGGACATCAAACAAGGGGCTGTGACAAACTGTTTCGTCGGAGTTTATATCAGACCAGAAATGCCAAACATGGTTGCTATAGCCCTTGCAGTTGAGCAAGAGGCCATTGTTTGGGTGGATGTACCTCTTGGTTCAATTGGTATGACCCAATGTAATGGAACTTAACCCCCATCTTCCCCATCTTAAATCTTGGAATGGATCTGCAAAAGTGTCCTCTAGCCTTTTAGGACTCCTTTTTTTCACTTGGTCATGCTTCGAATGCACTGGGTGAGGACGGTCGCAAGATTGTAAATAATTAAAGGACAGTAGCAAGAGTATGTGTTCCTTAGTCGCGTTTCAAGTAAGGGCGCAAGAAGGAAGGAGAAAAATGATACTTATCAGCTTGGTGGCTTGATAAGCAATGATGATCATGAGTTTGATGAGAAATGATGATGATGAGTATAATGAGAAATGATGATGATGATGATGATGATGATGATGATGATGGTCAACAATGAGGACGATGGTAACGAATAAGAAGTTGATGATGACTTAACAAGATGACAATGATGGCGATGCCGGTGATACCGACGGGTTGATGCTTTGATATACTGATTATACGGGTGCATTGGTGAACGTGATGTCTTTCGGGACATCCATTAAAATTGGAATGATACACAGAAGATTAGTGCAGCCCCTGTGGAAGGATGGCACACATAAATCAAGAAATAAATTTAAATAATCCACCCCCCCCCCCCCAAAAAAAAAAAAAAAGATGTTGAAACTTGAACGTTCCCCCCTTGAGAAGGTGACTCGTACCCCAAGGGTTGGGCGGACTCTTCTTCAACACTGTTCTTCCACCTTTTTTTTCTTTGTACTCATGCTTGCCGGTGATAAGCAACCAGACTGGTGCCCCCCAGAATAGAAGGGGCCGGGAAATTCCAAAAAAAAAAAAAAACAAAAAAAAAAAAGAGGAAGAAAGAAAGAAAGAAAGAAAATTGAACGTCATAGGTGCCCAGAAAACTTCACAGTAGATTTGAAGTCCCATGGCAGTCCTGAGTATGAACTCCAGTGTGTGGAGTTGGAACTACAAAGAAAATACGAACCACTCCCATGTCAGGTTGACCATCAACATCAAATGTCGTCTCCACAAGGCGCCTTCAAGAATCCACCGAAGAGCTAAGGTTTCTTGACGAGTCTTTGGTATAATGGATGGGACTAATTGGGTGGTTCCGGAGATTCTGACTTTTCTTACTTCTACATCATCATCATCATCATCATCATCAACATCAACAATAACAATAACAATTACAATAGCAATAACAATAACAACAGCAACAATGAGAGGAACAACAACTACGGCATGACAACGAACCAGAACAAGAAGAAGAACAAGGTTCGTGCAACAAACCTCTCAGTTCAACACCAATGAGCGCACACAATCACACAGCATGCATGAATGAAATCACGCGAAGTTCACACTGGAGGCCAGAGAGACGAGGACCAGGTAGCGCAGCTTTAGAATTCCAACAAGTTATTATACAAGCAATTACGAGTTTCAGTCACAGGCGCTCAAAAGCGCAAACCCAAGTATCCAGTATCCCCACTCAGGTATGTAACTTTTTCGAGGCTCTTCTCTTCCCAACTCTGAATACACCCACTGCTATGCCTACTAACCCTTCTGAAGTCTACTACCAATCCACTAACACTCTGCACTGGCGCAGCTATGGCTTCCTTCTCCCTGCCAGCGCTGTCTCTTCCTCTCTCTCGCTCTCTCTCTCTCTTCCTTAGCGCAGCACTCTGGCCGCAGCGCTCTGCCCCTCACAATAGCGCACAAGTATACCAGCGCTTCCACACTTCATGCGAATGAGCATTCTGCCTAATGAGGAGGCTGGCCAGTCCTTATGTAGTCTTGGACCGCACTTCAACTCATGCCAACCTCTGCTTCTTGGGGCTTGTCTGGGTTCCGGTACCACATCCCCACGGCCTGTCTGTTTTCGAATGTCAGGGCCTGGAGCCTTCCCGAATTTCCATTGGTCTGCTGCTGCTTGGGCCTTTGAGTCATGACTTTTCGATTTTGGCATATGGTTTTGACTGTGGACTGTGACTCTTGCCTGTGGAACTGCTCTCTTCTCGTGGGATGTAACTCTTCAATATGACTTTTCAAGTTTTCATTATGAGACGTGACTTTTGCCCCTAAGATGTGACTGTTTGCCGGGTGCCTGTTGATCTTGACTGCTAAGGTACCCGATTGTGACTTTCCTGAAATTGACTGACTCGGCCCTTCTTGACCAGGGCCTCTGACTGTGAAACTCGAATTTGGGGTCTGAACCGTGGAAGGCCTTTCTTTTGGAGTTTCCGACTTGTGCTCGCTCTGCCCTTGTCGCAAGCAGTGTCAGACTAACAGTGCCAGACAGGACCGTTTTGTATCTCGTACGACTTGCGGATACCCAAATGTTTCAAATGGATTTTTGTTTTTGAAATCTCTTTTTAGGTATGTGAAGGTATTGGAAATCATTATGGCGAACTGCATAGCTCTCCAAGGAAAAAAAAAAAAAAAAAGATCTTTGGTAAAATATTGTCCCCATTCTCTCTGATCTTGTGCTCCCGGCTCAATGCCCTTCTCTACTTCCTATCTTCCCTTCCTTGCGTCTTCTGATCCTCCTTTCTAATTTGCTTCTTGCAGACATATTGGACATCTCTGACAACCAGGGTGGAGGAGATGAGGACAAGCAGAAGAGACACAGAGTACTGGATGTGGCATCGTCGACTGCCGAAGGACCTTCGTGAGCGCGTCCGGCGGTATGAGGCATTCAAGTGGGCGGCCACAAGGGGCGTGAATGAGGAGCTGTTGCTCGAGAAATTGCCGTGGGATCTGCGGCGAGATATCAAAAGGCATCTGGCTATTGATCTTATTCGGAAGGTGAGATTAACTGTTATCCTGGGTTTTGTTTTGTTCTTTTTTTTTTTGGGAAACAAGTGCGGCCGCGACAGGTTTTGAGGTAAAAAAAAAAAAAAAAAAAAAAAAAAAAAAACACAAACAAACATGAAATGGCAGTTTGAAAACGGCCGCAGCGCAAAAAAGGGGCACAAGAAAAGAAACGAAACGGCAGTCTGCACACCACTGCCCCCCACCTGCAGAAAACCTGACACGCCTTTTCTCTAAAGTCGTGCCGTGCTTGCAGCGCCTTTTCAACCTGGCTGTGTTTGTTTTCCACATTCGAAACCGATTGCGATTCGCGACCGAAACATACTTACCCGAATTTTTTTAATTTTTTTTTCCCCTTCCTGTATCATCATCCTTGAGCAGGGGCCATGCTAATCTTCTCTGTAGCGTTCCAATTTTAACGGATGTCCTGAAGGACATGTGCTTCTCTATGTGGGTGGCATCTGAAGTCATTCCTCTGTTTGGTCCTTTTGTATTTCCCTTCCTCTTGGTCTTGTGTGGTGTGAGTTCAAGGACGCTACAGTCCTGGAGGTGGGCTGGATATCATGACCGGTACGGATCCAGTTTTTATAACACCTCCAAGGGTTGTAGACTTGTAGTGGTTACGAGAACTTTGTTCGTGAGGCTGAGGGTGCCGGTTCGAAGCCGTGCATGCACGGCGGGGCCTGATACCCTGAACGCACGTTGTTCAGTAACTACTTAGGTCCTAGGCAGTCCAGACCGGTAGGTTAGCTTAGAAGTATAAATAAAGCAGGACCGAACTGTTAGGCTCTCTTTGGTTAGCGGTCGTTGTTCACACCACCAGGCTGCTGGAGCAGCGCTACAGCTGGAAGCTGCTGTTAGGGTTTTGGTGCAGCAGTGAAACAGGCAGTTCACCTGCTGAGCTTGGTGACAGCCATATCTGTGCTGTGGGGTTAGGCGCTGCGGTGGTTGTTGACACCGCCAGGCTGCTGGAGCAGCACAACAGCCGGGTTCCGCTGCTAGGGTTTTGGTGCAGCAGTGAAACAGGCGCTTCACGTGCTGAGCTTGGCGACAGCCATCTCTGTGCTGTGGGGTTAGGCGCTGCCAATACTTTTTCTCTGCAGCAGCAGTCCTTCAAGCTGGAGGTTCTGCCTTCATACCAGGGCTGGCGCTAGTGCTGTTGAGTGGATTTTGTCGAGGCTGGTGGTCTGCAGGCCGGTTGTACTGGACGCAGTAGTATAGGGCTGGACGCCATATCCAGCTAGGAGGGAAGGTGATTCGCCTGGTGTTAATTTGGTGAAGAAGGTTCTATATTCTTGCTGAATTCATGTTCTGAGTTTGTTCGAGGCAGTTTCATACTCGGTTGTTGTGATTCTTGGGTGCTTGTGTGACGTTGTTGAACTTGGAGGGCGGGGAGGGTCATTGAATGGTGTATATCATACATGCAAGCGCACGACATGCCGACAATTTTGCACATACGGCACACGAGCACGTGGGACCTGTGCCGCACACGGCAGTGCAGCACACAGGAGAAACAGACAACCAGAAAAAAAAAGAGTGGTTGCAGGCTTGGATCAGTGGTCTCCTGCACCCCCTTCAAAAATTTGTTGTAGCATGAAAAAAAAAAAAAAAAAGTGGGGAGATGTGTTACAACTTACCAGCCGGGCGGCACGGGTTGCCTGAGATTGGCCCGGGTAGCCCGGCCGGGCCAGGTCTGGACAAAGTCCCGATTAAGGTCCCGGGCAGTCCCAGCGCAAGAAAAAAAAAAAAAAAAAAACTGAAAAAAATCTATGTCAAGAGAGAGAGGGAACACCTCTTCGACATTCACACAGTTTGCATGAAACACATGGAGAGAACCCAAAAAAAGGGTTCAGTTCAGTGCTGGGCCGGCAACCGGCCGGTTGAGCTACCCCGGTCCAACCGGAGCCGGACCAGCCCGGGGGGGTGAACCGGGAAACCGGTTTTGAAAAAAAAGTGCCCAAATATCTTTTTTTTTTCCTTTTTTTTTTCCGGCAGATTCCGACTGCGCTCTTCAAGAGCTGTCGGATCCGCAATACAATTTTCAAGGTGCAATATTTTTCAGGGGGCTTGCAGAGGAGGGCAGGGGGTTATTATTGACGTATTCAGGCAACTATGGCTTCCACGGGGAGGGGCAAGTAATCAAGTTCACTTACCCAAACCCCCCGTGGCTGGAGCACTTCGTGGAGTGTGTCATTTGATATTGATACCCCACGAGCTGAACCAAATATGATGAGAGGAGGTCCTTGCCAGAAGTTATAGCTCTTCCAGAGTATAACTCGACAGCAGAAGAGTTATGGTTCCAGTTTTCAGCTCGTGGAGGCAGAGCGTTTTCTGTTTGTTGGTTTCTACATAACGTGAGTTAGCAGTACGGAAGTATCGTGCCTGGCAGTCTGTCCAGATACATGTAGTGGAGCAAGGTCCATTCGAGATAGATAGAGAGAAGAATATACCTTAGGTCCATTCTTGGACTTGCACCTCGGACGGCTCTGACATCACGATTCCAAAATCCGAACCCATAACTTTTTCCACAGATGACAGGGACGTTGCAGAAGGATATAATCTCAGCAGAGCCTCATCGCAAGCATAGTGTTCCCCTCGTGGCTGCGGGTGAAAGAGCATCAGATGTTGCCAATGGTAACTGGTCCGTTGGACCACAAGATGACAAATTGGAGAAGGGGCCTACCCGACCCACATCTTAAGAAAAATGTGTGGCGGTTCTCCGCTGCTGATCTGCAAAGATCAGCGACGGATATCCTCTGCCCATTTTTCTTAAGAAATGGGGTCCTGGCAGATCTTTGCCGCTGATCTGCGACGATCAGCGGCCAAGATTGGCCACTTTTTGGACTTGAAAAATCCGGGCCTACAGGACCCGGTTTCGAAATTGCGGGGCAGGGCCCAACCCTACGAGGCCTCGGGAACACATAGGTTCTCCGCTGCTGATCTGCAAAGATCAGCGGCTGATATCCTCTGCCCGTTTTTCTTAAGAAATGGGGTCCTGGCCGATCTTTGACGATCGGCAGCCAAGATTGGCCACTTTTTGGAATTGAAAAATCCGGGCCTACAGGACCCGGTTTCGAAATTGCGGGGCAGGGCCCACCCCCACGAGGCCTCGGGAACACATATGCGCCGGCAAAAAAAAAAATTCAGGAAACCGGGAGGGAACCGGCCCTGGTTCATCCGGGGACCAGCCCTGGTTCAGTTGCAGGCTTTCAGACCTCCTCCGACCGGGAGGACCACGGATGGGGTAGGGGTCCCTGGTCCATCCGGGGACCAGCCCCGGTTCAGTTGCAGGCTTTCAGACCTCCTCCGACCAGTACGATGCGCTGGAAAAAGCAGAAGAGTTCTTTGAGTACACAGCTTTCAGATATGCAGAGAAGAAGCGAGCCTAAGGAACAAGGCCTCAGCGATAAAGACATAACCATGGCGCATGCTAAAGTAATCCTTCAGGAGATACAACCAAAGAAATGGAAGACCACCATGAACCAGAAGAAAAAAGGAACTAGCACAAACGGATCAGAAACTGAGTCTGCAAATAAAAAAGTCAGGCCTGAACTTGAACAGGAAATTGCGGTAATAGAGGCCTAGTCTGACGAGATCAAGAAATTGAATGTAGTCTATGAGCTTGAGTTCACCTCCCTCAGCACATAGCAGAAGGCAAGGCCCCCCACGTGCTGGAATCAGCCAAATCTGCAAAGTTAACACTGATGGGGACACACCCCCTCTTGGCTGCCCGCTATGTGGACAAGACAAAAAAGTGGCAGGTTGCCACAGATGTGTCCTTCGCGATCCCGAGGATCGATGAAGGGCAGAACGTCGCAACCATCCTACAAGGAAAAATCACAATGGCGTACCCCCTTGGTGTCTTTGAAACAGGGACCCTGGTGACTCAGCAGAATGACGACTCTCGCTCAGCACAGCAAGAGGAAGAGTATGATCAGACAGATCCCACGGGCTCTGAGACGGACCAGACTGAGCCTGATCCCAGAGCCTTCACCCCCCTCATTTGCAAAAATGCCTGAGGGTGCCAAGTTGAAAGGAGGAATGAGATGGCAACCTTGGAACACGGTGACAACTATTCCCTGCAGCGTGCTGTCAGGGAATGGCATCCCCGTGGAACTGCAGGTCGCCTCACTGGCTGTTCTCATCAGGGATGGAATTTTCACTGGGGACGCTGATTTAGACTCCACGGCCTATGCAATAGACCTGGAAAGATACTACAGAGATGAATACTCTGAGGAGGAGATGGAAGATAGGACTGCGACGGACCCCGAAGCCAAGCTGGAGGATTCTCTGGCCAGATAAATCAGCGGCAGAATCAGAGAGTCTGTGTTGGATGATTCCCTGTCCAAAACCCAGTCTGATCCGCCAAGGGACTCAACAGATTTTACGGAACCCGGGGACCTAGACACCACCTAGAGCGGGAAACATTAGCCCCTTCATGGTTACCATCCAAGACGAATCATGGAAGTGCTGACAAGATAGGCCAATGCAAGGGGGCAGAAGGTGGATTGGAAAACACAAGGCCTAATCATTTGCAGTTGGAACGTCAATGGTCTTGGGAATATTACCAACAAAGGAGACAAACTAAACGACATAATTCAGGGACTGAAAGACCACTCAAAAAATCGGCCGATATTATTTTTCTGCAAAAAAATCATCTTACAAACTCAGAAGACCCTCGTTTTTTGTAATACATCCGCGTACATTTGAGAAGACGGATTAGTGAGTAAATTACTCTCTGCTACTTTCAAGGCAGTTTCGAGCATCACCTTCCGTCTTTTCCTATCATTGGCCATTTTCCTCGGACTTGGCGCCTGTGGGAACTCAGAGGGCTCCAAATCAGAGCCAGAACGACGGATCTTGAGCTCAACGAACAGATGTCAAAATATTTTTTTTGCTAGAATAAAGGCAAATAACCGCTCTAGCTAAATAGAGGGGCTTAAGGAATTAAGGGGTCAACATATCACCCGTACAGACAGCGAAAGGATGCTCAA